TTGTTGATGTGGACAGGAAGTTTCCTTAATAATGGCCTGCCATAAATGGATTATTTTACAGAAGGATGTACACCCGTTTTGAAATTTAACAGAGAATTTGCAACCAGCTAGAACATGTCCTTTAAGCAGGACAGAGGGGACCAGTGGAGGTATGACTGGGGGAGTCCAAACACTCATCCTTATGTGGAAGTTATCACTCATCTGAATGCATGTGGAACATTTGTGTACTCTACTCTAGAGGCTCAAAAGAGAAACACCTTCAATGATAATTAAATGATATAATTTTATTGGAGACTATTCTATATGATCATGGGCAAGGGTTACCTAAATTATTGGAATATGCATAGGCAGGTTTGAAACTACATCTTCAAAAATGTAAATTCTATGATATTTCTTGAAGGAATATGAATACACACCGACTTCCAGGTGAGCTCTCCTCTGATAGTCACATCTTACTCCTTATTTAAAGAGCTAATTTCATTTCAGTTGATTGATGTCTTTGGAGATTTTTCAATGTGATTCTCAAGCTTGTTATTGAACAAATGCCTCCCATGCCCATGTTAAAGCTTAGGTCTGAAGTTTTGAGGCTCTCTTCACAATGGAGCATCATGTATTCCTGTGAGTCTGTCACGCAGCAGTGGAACTTGATTGTTGAAGGTGTTCACCCAGCAATGATATTGTATTTAACACTTGCTTATCTCTGAAAGCACTATATATGTCACTCAGCTTTTTCTTCTTGATACTACTGCATCTCTGCTGCAGCCTTTCTGAGATCTCTCATGTTTCTCAGCTGGGATCAGCTTCAACCCTTACTCATCACAAGCAGGCTATGAAGTGGTAAGGCAAACTAAGAAAAACAAACAAACAAACAAACAAAATCTCTACCAATACATTTAAATAATTGACTAGTTTGGCAAAAGATCCTTGCCAATGACAGGAAAATAGCAAAATAGAACCATTCAGTCTGGAAAATTCATTATGATTCAGGGAAGAAGCCATTGTTGGTTTGCTTCTTGGCAACAAACTACATACATTACAACACATGCTTTGTGAAGAAAGTTTTTTGCAGTGTCTGCTCCTTTGCTGTAGCAGAACTACTGTCTCTACCTCTAGTACTTCCTAGAATTTCTATTAAGCAAGCTAGAACTACCACCAGTCGGTCACTATTCACAGTTAGGCAAGACCAAAGATTCCTTCTTGGTGTGTAGGTCAGGAGGCTTTGAAATAAAAAGCCTCGTTGTTTCACACAGTGATCAGTTCTTCTCTCTTCACTTGCCTCTGGAATGACTGATTAACACTTCTGGATTTCACATCTACCTTGGATAAATCTCTGTAATAACCATGACCTCTGAAAGAAGGAGGGAGAGAGGGGCAGAGCTTCATCTCTAGGACTGCTCTGCTATTAGCTGGTTTTCCTTTGCTGGGACAAAAGTCTGATACCTACCTTTAAGCAGAGGTTCATTTTGGCTCACAGTTTCAGAGGCTTCCATCTGGGTTTTGCTGGCTCCAAAGCAGAAATATCATGGCGGAACAGTGCTTCATGGGGGCTAGAAAGGAAAGCGAAGGAAAAGAGTGGCAGAGAGAGGAAGGGGCTGGAAGTCAGACATAGTCCTCAAGGTCACTGTTGCCATATTGCACTCAGTCTACAAAGCCCCACCCCCAGTCACCATTCAGCTGTGAGATCACCAAGGGGTTGACCTATTAACATTCTCACAGGTCAGTAACTTCTCCAGAAGTCTCTTGATCCAGACAATAAAGTTTAACAGGCACAGCTCTTACTAATTGAAATTTGTTCTTTAATTGTATATATATCCTGATGACTCTCAAACTTAATATGACTCCTTAGCCTCATCTCATATATCAACCACCTATCTTACTTAGAGACCTCAGTGGAAGGCAAAATACTTGGCTTTCCCTCAAGAAATCAATGTCTTTTCTCAATTAATAATGACATTATTGATGTAGTGCTCAAGCAAAATGTCATTGGAATAACACTCAGTTCTCTCCTCGTCCTCGTCTTTCCTAGCTCAGCCACCCCGTACTAAGTCCAACAATGAATTCTCTTCACTTTCTCTCATGTTTCAAAACATCCCAAATCTTATCATTACTTTTACCACTAGTAATGTAGTGGACATACATCATTTCATTTCTCATCGGAGGTTGTAATAGCATTCCAGCTTTCCCGTGCTTCTTATGGTTTGTTCTTCACCCAGTGGCCAGTTCTCAAATTTACTCTGCTTGAACAGAAGTAACTTCTTTCTGGTACAAACAGTCGTTCAAGGGCACCTCTAGGTGCTATTCTTCCCGCTTCCAAGACTCATCCCTTAGACAATTCCGTCCCACAGCACTCTATTCCACTCATCACTGTTCTCTGTGTCACCTCATGGTAAAAGACACTTCCTGATTGCACTATCTAGAGTAGTGTATGTTCCCCTTTCATCACTCTTTCTTCTTATTCTCATTTATTTTTCCTACGGCACTTTTATTCAGATGACATTTGTTTGCTGATCATTTTCCAGAGAAGAATTTAGCTTCATGAAGACAGGGGCTTTATCTGTACAGTACCTACAGTTAGCATTTAAAAATACTTACTGAAATAAAAGATCCATTGTTGGTAGCACAAATAAAAAGCATACCTTTAGCCTGCCATGGTGGTGCATGCCTATAATTCCAGAACTTGGGAGGTTGAGGCAGGAGGATTGCCATGAATTTGAGGCCAACCTGGACAACATAGTGAGCTCATGGCTGGCCTGAACTACATAACAGGATTCTGTCTCAGAAACAAAACAAAACAAAACACAAACAAAACACAAACAACACAACCCCATAAAAAAACTAAGAAGCATACCAGGCATAACTAGAACTCCTGGAGATAACAAATAATTGAGTTTAAAAGGACTTCTATTTAAGCAGAAGCAAATTACTACTTACATGTTATTTTCTTAATTTATTTTCCTATTAACAAAATAAATAAGTTAAATATATATATATATATATATATATATATACACACACACACACACACACACACACACACACACACACACACACATATATTCTGTCTTAGTTACTTTTCTCATTACTGGGATGAAATACCCAATACCCACAAGTTAGAGAAGGTGAGGTGTATTTCAGCTCACAGTCTGTAGAGGTTTCAGTCCACAAGTCAGTTGACTCCAAGGCAGGGCGGGTGGTAAAGAGGAAACAGGCCAAGTCAGAGCAGGCGGGAGTCAATAAGCAACGGGGCTGCCTCCTTCTGTATGTGTGTGCCATCTAAACTCTAAGCCTATTGGCTGGTGACTCCCACACACAGCTGGGGTTTCCCTCTCAGTAAATCTATTCAGCCACACCCAGAGATTTGCTGAATCAGTGGTCTCACCCACTATCACACAGCCTTAAACACAGTATCACACACCCATGATCCAACCGCCTCCTAAAAGCCCCACCTATGAGTGCATGAGGATTGCGGGGAGGATATCTAGGTACATGCTGTAAGTATGGTGGCCTTTGAAACTATATAAGTAGTTTAGTGATATTATGAAATTCTTTGTAGTACTGGAAACTGCAATGATGTGTCGATTTGAAAAGCATGAAACTTTATTTGAAAACAGCTATGGCAAGGTATAATGATACGTGATAAATTGCACATGTCGAAAGTGTAATTAAATCAGTTTTGACAAATACAGCTTTGTTAAATAAATTCATTATCCTATTCAAATCTTAGTAATTTAGTAACAGAATGATCTCTAATTCATAATGTAACTTCAACATTCTGTTTCTTTATTTAAAAGTTGGCAACAATAATGGTATCTTTCTGATAAGGTTAATGAAATGAATGTGATATTTATGCAAAGTGCCTGGAAAATTATAAGCATATAACAACTTGTGGTATATTTTTTTGACTGAATGAATACTATCCACAAACTGACTAAAATGTTTTTAATACATTACCATTAACTTTTCCGTAAGGTCTAAAGCTTAAATTCCTTTTTGGGCCTAGAAAATCAGTTAAATTGTGTTAGAAATAGTCAATTATAAAGAGAGGATCTGTGTACATAACAGAGAACTAGAATGTGGATAGTCAACAACATGAAGTAGTCTCAGTAAAAAATTTTTAAAAAGGAATTGTGTCACCCTTACAGAGTATATCTGCGTGTTGCATTTTGTGTATAGGAAGAAGTTTATGATTCTCAAAAAAGTGAAGTCATAAAAGGAGTTTTAATATGAAACAGACATGACTTGGTTTATGTGTTATAAGTCTGCTGTGTGTAAGATGAACTGGAGAAGACGGAAGTAGAAAAACGGTAGGACCAGTTAGGGGGCTGGTGTGACAGAGTACAAAAGAGTGTATGTTAGCTTGGAAAAAACCAGATAGCAGAGATCAAAAGAAGTGGATGAATTTGAAGTGTATAATGACAGCACTGTTTTGTATTTCCAAATTCAGAAGCAGGTTGACTTTAGAAAAAAAGTCTTAGCTCAGTGAGCTGTCATATCTTCACCTTCATTTCCATTTCTTGATTTTCCTAGTATTATTTTTATGTGACCTTATTAGCTTACGGGTGTTCACTGAAGGAAGCTGGCATGCGGTTGGTTGGGCTGGCTTGGCTTACTGAATTTCATTGCCTGAGTCTCAGAGATAAGGATGCTAAGGCCATTTCTCCTCCCAGTTTGCTCCTGCCTAGCCATCTAGACAGAGCAGCTATCCACGGCTCCAGCCCTTACACGGATTCTTCAAACAGGTAGATGAACTGCCTGCTTTCTGTTTTTCTTTGTTATTTGAAGACAAATGTCTTTTTAAAAAAATTTTTTTAAAGAAGTAACCATTTTGAATGAAAAGTTAGGTTATGATTTTTCTTGATATCTGTTTACTTATTTCTAGTTTTATACAGTGTAACTGAGAACAATAATTGGAAGAATTGAGAGTTTTTTTTTTTAAAAAGTACATATCTGTTTCCCAATATTTAATGGGAAATGTGGGCGTTTCCACTAGATTGCGAAGTATGTCGGTGAGGACAGGGTCTGAAGAAAAAAGCCTGCAAAATAATTTTGGAGCAAAACACTTTAGCCTTCTCTATAAGACCACTATCCACGGATTCTCTAAAGAAAACTTGTTGCAGGGATGTTATAACCAAGGGCCAGTATAACAGTGGTGTACTCTATAAAATGTGTTACTAGAGTCTACATGCAATAACCTAATCCACAAGGAAAGGCAGTTTCATCTTTGCAATACAAGACACCGGAATCGCCATGTGTAACATAGGAGTATATGTATGGTCTGCACTGTTTCTGGACTTGAAGACAAAATTTTCATTTTCCTATGAATTCGTGATAGATCTGTACTTCAAATATGTGTCTGTGAGCACTAATGTACATGAAAATCTTAAAATTTCTGGAGTTTATAATGGTTTTATTTAGGAGTGTGAAGCTTTTAGGTGTGACAGTAGGTATTTCATATCCAGATAATCCTACACAGAATGTTTGCTGGCTTTCAGCTAATCCATCCTTTCTTAGCAAAAGTGATCTTTTGTTTGACCTTATCTCTAGATAGACAGCCCACACTGAAACCTGACCTTAACACACAAGTGTTTAACATAAGAGTTATTTACTCATCACAAAATTTTAAGTGTATCATATGGTAATGTTAACTATAAGAATTATGCTTTATAGTATATCTGCAAGAATTTTCTTGCATAACTGAACTGTAACTTTTGGGCATCAACCTCCTGCTCCCTCTCACTATAATCTATAACAGCCAACACTTCAAATGTCTGTTTGCATGAGTTTGACTATTTTAGGTTGCTCAGATGAGGAAGACCATGAGTATTTGTCTTTTGGTGCTTAGTGTATCTCACTTTGGATAATGTCCTTCATTTTCACATACAATGTTACAAGTGATAGGATTCCTTCTCTTTAATGTGTAATAATACTGCATTGTGGTATACATCACAGGCATCCAAGATCGACTTTTTGGTTGCATCTATGCTGTTTCCACTTATATCAAAAGACCAGAATTAATTCACTTATTTTCTTTTTTACTAAAGGACATTTAAATTGCTGTTGTAAATGAAGCTCCCATATATCATTATGCATGTAACTTTGTGCACAGAAGTATTTGTTGATGATGATTTCTAAGAAGTGAAACCTTTTCTTAAAAATTGTGTACATTTGCATTTGAAGAGAAGCTTAAGAAAAACATTTCAATTGTCTCTACTATCCCTACATAAAAATGCGTATTTGCCTCAATGCTTGCCAATCTTTGGCATTGTCAAACTTTAGAATATTTTCTGATTTGGTGGTCAAGGGATGGTTTCTCATTTTTACTTTTGCTTATTCCTATTCACTAGTAAGTTTGTGTGCATTTTGCTTTTCTTAATGAATTACTTAGTTTTACTCACTTAGAAGAGTTGCCAGGAATAATATTTCCTGAGAATTTGCACATAACAAATTAATTGTGTGGGCTCATTACATATACCTGAATGACTATCAGAGCGCATAACTGTTACATCACGTTTTATTTTGAGGAGTATTATGATCTATCCTGCTTTGGTATTGTAGTAGAAAAGCTAAGGGCACTTTTATTATCATTGTTTTTTGTTGTTGTTATTATTGTTTCTCTCTGACTAATTTGATAATTTTGTCTTGGCTGCTTCAAACATTTAGAAATTAATTATTTTGCTTGAAATCTGATAAATTGAGTTGGATTTGTCAAGATGTTGGCCATCATGGAATCTTTAAGTAAACTTTTTATTGAAATAAAATATAAACAGAAGTGCTTAATTGATTGTAAAATTAACACAGTTTTACAAACAGCACAGAGCAGATTATTGTTATTTCAAAATAATATGATTTGCAATTCTTAATAAACAAAGGTAACCCTTATTCAATTTTACCAACATTAATTCCTATTTCTTATTTTTGAATATTGGATGTGTAGAACCATGCCAAATTAGGTACTCTGTTGTGTCTGGCTTCTTTATTCAATATTGTATTTGTAAGACTGAGCTAAAATAAAGGATAGGATGCAAAAATATAACTAATTGGATATCTTGCCTGGTATCAAACTATGTTAATAATTTCAAAAATAACGGCAATGCCAAATCTCAGAGAAGTAAAAAAAAAAATATTGGGATAATTTGTGGCTCTCTAGATCCTTCTTTTTCAAATTTGTCAGGTGCTTTCTGGGATGAGAATAATAGGGAGGATTTTTAAGTGAAGTTATGGACCAGCTTACATTTTGGAGATTGGTTTGTTTGTGGAACATTTATGCACAAGCTTACCTGATATTTACTAGGAAGTCATATCCACTAAACTTTTAGGTTCTAGATTTATTTACTGTAAGGAACTTTTAGACATTGCCTGTGCTAAATATTGTTATTTAGCAGGACATAAAATTACTGTATTAGTGTATTTACAAGGAAACTAGAATGCGTCACAGTCTTTTTCTGTTTACTAGAATGCACCCCAGAAAAGTGAGGAAAAACAGTGCAGCTGCTCTTAAATCTACCTCTGCACAGTGGTTCGTCTGTATTAATGAACATAGCAATTCATTGCCAATCCTTGTCAATTAGTTATTTAAGTTTGCAGTCTACGTTATAGTCTTTATTTTCCCTAGGTTCATTGAATGAAGGAAAGAGTAAAGGAATCTCTGAATAAGTCAATGTTTTTAACATTCTTTTACTGGTCATTATCTTTAACTTATTCTCCAATGTGTTCCTTCAAAAATTTGTCCCACCAAGAACAAACTAAAACTATGTCTGTAATCACAGAGATTTGACTATAGTAATGTAAAAACAAAAGGAACACTGAACAGACGGGACACATTTTCAGTGCTATGTACTTGAAGGAAAATAATTATTTGGCTGTCAAGTCAACATTTGTGCTTGGAATTCTTACAGTTTAAAGTTTGAATTATTTTAGAGAATTGCTCTGAAAATAATAGTTGTCTGGTCAAGAACTCCTATTAACCAGTACAAACACATGTTTTAAATGATTTTTTTTCATACTGTTTAAAATCCTATGTTATAGCATGATTTTTGAAGTTCACTACTGATTACAGAATTTTTATATTTAACTAAGTTTCTATTCATTCATAAAATCTATATAAGCCAGAGGCATTTAAAATCAAAGGGTGTCAGGTCTGATTAGCTCTAGTTACAAGTGTTATTTTTGTCTTCTTTCTCTCACTATAGGATGTAAGCTAGGGCAGAAGACAAGCTGCTAATGAAAGAGGAATAGGAAAAGAAAGACGTTCTAAGAAAATTCATGGCAGATCATGTGGCCTAACCTCGGTCATTTGTTAAAAGCTGTGAGTAAATAGACTCAAGAACTTATTATCCTCCATGAAAACTTACAAGCCAATGGAGATCTGGTTCACTAAATACAAATTTTGCTACTGGGTTCTTTTGAAGTTGGGAAGTTGAGCTTTTGGAACTCAATGAAGTTGGTCTTCCAAGGTCATGGAACACGTTAAGCCTTGGTAGGCTCTGATACACGGGGAATAGTTGAATAACAAGTACTCTTTAGGCTACCCAGTCTCTACTTCTTTGTTTAAACTAATTATTTTTGAAAAGACTTTTGCTGATCAACTGCATTACTGTAGACTTTGTCTCAATGTACAACAAAAATAAACATGATTTTAAATTTGCCCTTCTCCCCTTTGTAGTATAGGATTCATCCCATCAGAGGTGGGAAGGAAGGCAACTTCTTGCCCTTTATTCTGTGCGACTCCTTCCAGGCTGGGTAATAATGAAGGCCTGCGGAGAGGTGACAGGGTCTCCATCCTGAAAGGCTACGTTCGTGACAGATACCAAGTAAGAGCTGGCTCATCACAGAGAAATCAGAATTTACTTTAAAAATGCTTATTTCTGCCCACTGATCACAACCTCAGACTCTAGTGCATCAGCATTTAAAAAAACTGTATGTGCTCAAATTCGTCTGTTCCTATTTGAAAGTTTGTTTATTGACAAAGAATGCAAATATCTGGAGGACTCTTTTGTCATAGTTGTCGTAAAGGCTATGAATGCTATTTGATCTTCAAAAATTTGCCAATATAATACAGAAATCTAACTGTATAAACTTCTTCACACAGTTAGTTTTTCTTGTGCATCAGAAACTCTGAGGTCAGGGAGCCTGAGGCCAATGTGGCAGCTTTCTGAGATTATAAACTTCGGATGTCTTCTGAGATTTTGTAGACTCAACATAAGGTGCTGCAGACTGAGTGTGTCCACTTCACTGTTCACGCGCTGAATCCTGAATCAGCAAGGCAGTGGTGTTAGGAAGTGGTGCTTTCAGAGCACCCACAGCTAAGTGGGATGCCTGGCTTTGATCCTTGTGCCTCAAGGCATTTCTTATGAGTATTATCTACTCAGGTAAGAGGAAGAGAGAGATAAAGAACCTATCATCTATCTATCTATGTTTTATGTTTCAAAGTTTTAGTGATTTTCATGGATTTTTAGGTATTGAATTAATTATTAACTTACCTTGTATGGGTAGTCAATCATGTTAGCATCTTTTCTTGAATGATTTTTGTACCTTTTCCTGTGTGTGTAGGTGCCTGTTGTATTTTTTGGTTTGTCCTATTGATGTACTTATCTGTCCCTATGTGATATCATTTATATTACCACATAGTTGAATTTTAAAAATTGACATAGTGATCAATTATTTCTTGATAAATCACCAGACAAATCACAATTACTGTATTCATTTCTCACTTTTTCTTAATAGTTTCACACGTTTTTTAGGAAGTGAACTTGCTTGTAATTTGTTTGTGCTTGTTTTTTTATTGTGTAGATTGAAATTATTAACTTTTCGTGTTGAAAGTTTATTTATATACCTATGTTTCTTGTGTTTTTATTCACAGTACAGATTTAATATTCTGTTCTTGTAAGTTTCTTTTATTCTTTAATATAATGTTACCTTGTAGATACTGATAGTTTTTTCCTTAAGTTTTATTCTTTCTTTAAAAAACATTGTATTATAGAATATTTAAAATGTATGAAAAGTAGACAAAATAGATTAATGAACTCCCATGTACTGAATTTAAAAATGTTTTGACTTATACTTCTGGCTTCATCTGTATTTACTGATCTTTTCCTCTTCTCTGTATTTGAAATTGGAATAAAAAAATTACAGTTCATCCATAGCTGAGTACACAAATACACAGAGGTATATTTACCTCTCCTTAAGCATCTCCATGATATCATAATCATACTAATGTATGGTTTTCCTTGGTGTATCAAGTATTGCTCAAGTTTCAGATTTCTAATTGCTCTGTAAGTATACTGTGTGATTCAGTTTCTACTTTAGGAATATGTTGTCTATCCCAGCAGGGGGGTACACAGTCTTGGGTTTTCTCGCTTTTCTAAGATTGGTATTCATTAATGTTCAATGGTTAGATTCACTTATTTATCAGAGGATGAAAATAGTGACATTTTATTTTAATCATTTTTCATAGTTTCATGTATGAAAGAATTCCTTCCACTCATTCACGGTTTGACTATCTAGTAGTACACATAGTGTACAAAGGGCAAGCAGGATCTAGTCTTGATTTTTGCCCATTTTATGAACTTTTGAAATACACTGTTTCTTTCTGCAGTAGTGATCAGCTATTACTTTATCATCATTATCAACCCAATATGAATTAAATGCATCTGACAGGTTTCAATTTGCTATAAATTTTCTCTCTCCTGATGACAAATGTACCATCTTGGACAGAGAAAGGCCTGAGTCCTCCTGATGTGAATTCAAGGTTTTTTGCCATATTTGTTGACTCTGGTATAACTAGATATACCAACCATATCTTGTGTATTTCCTGTTCCAGATTTTGAGTTACTCTTCAAGAAGTCTTGACTTGGGGCATTAAGGCTGTCATTGCTATTTTGTTGATAGTTGTTTCTTGTCCTTTTCAGTGGAATACATTAGGGAATACATGTTCAATGACAAAATATATTAGAAATTCATATGGAGGATTCTTATTCAAATTCAAATCTGGAGAGATTTGACTTATTCTCCTTTGCCTTACATCTTTTTCCCAAGCCCAGAACTATCATTCTCAGGAACACTAAAGATGACAGAATCTCATGTCACAACTCATTTGCATAATATCACATAATCTCTATAGGTAGCATGAAGAATCTCACTGTGATCATATTTAATTGCATTTAGTATAATCATAGTCTTAAAAGTTTAGTAAATGTTTATATTGCAGTTAGCATGCCTCATAAATTCAGACGTCTCTTGTGATCACTATTTTGTTCACTTTTGTGGATCCTGGTACATAGCCTTAATGCTTTAGGATTTGCTGACTTAATATATTGCTTCATGTATAAATTACAGTTTAATTCCATGAAACCAATAGCATGAAGCCATCAAAGTTATATTCATTCTCCATTGTTGAAGGACACAATCCATTGTGTGGTGTTTGTGCTTGATGTCAACTATGTTAAATGACTCTAATGAGGTGCTGACAAAGGTCAGGGGAATTTGAAGATGATGACGAAACATGGTGAGTTTCATCTCACTTTGCTACTAAGGGGAATTGACTAGACTTTATTGTAGGATGTTTTTGGATAGCGTGAAGGACTTAGGTAACTGAAGTTTGAATCTGTCCTGGATTACCACCATGGTTAAATTCAGTTGAGCTCCGGATAGTAGTATGACCTATGCAAGTGATTTAAACTGAATTCAACTTACTAACAAATCAATAAAATTAATTCATAATAACAGCTAGCTCAAAGATTTGTAATAAGGATTGAACACACAGACACACACACACACACACACACACACACACACACACACACACGGAGACAGAGCTATGTAAGAGTTAGGTTGTTAAATTATTGGACTGCTAAATAGTTAATATAGCCCAGTGGACTGTCTCTGGTCTTCACCAGAACACCACTGTTTGGACAGAATATACTAAATCAATAAGTATATTGCAAAGTAAATTTTAGTTAGCTCTTCCAAAAACTGTTTTGAATTGAAGCTTCACTTCTTTCCATGGAAGAGAATGAAAGAAAGGAGCTTCCCATATTGAAGAAATACCAGTTACCACAATTAGTCCAGAAGAGTTCTTTTGAGGGATGGATGTAGGGAAACTTCTGAAATTTACTGCATGACTGAGAGCTGGTTAACTTAAAACTAGTGATAACATGCATAAGTCTGTAAGAACCTTATGGGCTTATTTTCTAGGTCCACGTGGCTTGGCTTAGTCCTATGGACATAGATTTGGGCATATAAAATGACCCTGTAGGACCTCTAGACATATAAATCTGTGATGCTCAAGGCAATTGATGATGTTTTAATAAACACATCCTCTATCACTATAATCACATGATATTACTGTCTTTAATGGTAAAGAAATAGATATCCTTACTTCTGAGTTTAAGAAGAATTGAAATAATTGCTTAGATGATTAGAACTCACTTCTCAAGTGTTAAAAATTAAATATATTTATGTGCATATATATCTTCATACTGACATTAAAAGATAATTTCATCAATTACAATTTAGTCCAGTTAGGTTCAATTTAACAAATACTTACAGATTACCTTTAAGAACAATATGACAGTTTCACAAAATACACAGATAGCAAAAACAATTCCCTCACACTAAAAAGCTTATAGATTGATAGATGGGAGTGAAGGGGTGGGGAGGTGGGATAAGAAAAAGTTGGCAAAAGCACACTATAAGACTAAGTTGATAAAATCATGAAACAACTGAAAATAAAATACCTTATAGGTTTAGGATGTTACATGAATTTGTAACTCTGTCACTCAATACTGGGTAGATGCATTTGGTGAGGAAGGCTGCAGTTGTCAGCTGCTTGACTACTCCTGGCCTAGATCTATTGCACACCTGGAATTCTTCATCTCTTTGGAGGTCACTGCCTGTGTGATTAGTACTGTCCTGTATCCCTTTGCTGAATGTCTTTCTCCCTTTACGTTTCCCTCCTTTCCTCTTCCCACTGAGTATAACTTGGAAGACACACAATAGTTCTCTTTTCCTTTCCTTTTCTTAAGGACCAAATGTTTTGAAGTGACCTGCCCTTGACGTCATCATCACTGCTGAAAAATCCCACACTGTATCCTTGGCCTCTACTCTCAGAATGTGCTTCTTTGCTTGAAATCTAGAACTGGGTTGGATCAGCAGGGCTTCTTAGGAGATGTGAAGTTTGATTCTTTGTCTCTTCCTTAGAACTCTATGCTTCTGTATTTTTTGACTTGACTTTTTGGACTTTTATTTCCCTTCTCGTTTCCTTTCCATGAAGTGTGGTCAGTGCTAACTATAGAATGTGCCTTTTATGCTTGTAGTCTGGTAATTTGACTTTAATGTGTATTCTCAGTTATCAACCTGCCCATAAGAAATGTTAAACTATTACAGTCAAAGATTAGACAGCAGTTTTAGTTTTAATAGTCAAATCTTATTTTAGTTCTTGGAAAATCATTGTAGAATATCATATCCTCTCCATTTTTCTCTTCCTTTTAAATTGCTTGGGAAGTCTCACCTCCTTTAAATTTGTTGTCCTGAGTCTGTCATCCTGATTTTCTGTCTTTTCTCTTGCTCATGTTCCCCGTGCTCTGGAAATCAAGATGGATTTAGACCTCAGGACCCTAATTACTTTTTACTGTGATACCTTTTCCCTTGATAATACACTGAATGCATTTTGTATCTCTTTTCTCAATCTTAAGAATAATTAAATTATCATGTGTACAAAAGGAGAAAATAAGTATGTGAACCCTTTATGTATTGGTTTTTGTCCCACCATAAAAGAGTGAAACGGAGAAAGGAAAAAATGCTGGAAGAGAATTAGGTAATATCAAAGTGATGAATTTTATTGATGTCATGGATGAAGATAATTTACTAAATCATGGTTTTGTAGCAACCAGGAGCAACATGACTTAGTGATGAATTATGAAATATATGCATAATTGCTCTTGGATTTGTAGTCCATGTCTGTGTAAAAAGGTTTTTTCTTATAAAACTAAAGTCTAAATTGAGTATTTGTGATTGAGAGTATGTAGAAGTTCATTTGAATATGTGTTTTCAGAATTTTTGGATCTTTACTTCCTGCATCTTAGTTTTGCCTTCTTATTTTATTTTTTGAAGGAAAACATAACATTTTTAGTATCTGTGCTGCCAAAGAAAGCACAACTTGTAACTTTTGTTTTTTTGATCAACACTATGGAAATGCAGAAGGAACATTAAATTAGTAGAACATTCAAGAAGTCAAGATTGTGTCTAACAGAGTGAAATACTGTGTGATAGAGTGATCATATGTTATAGATGGATGTGCCTCAGAATCTTTGCAAAGGATGATTAGGGAAGCTTTATAGGTCAAGGGATTAACTGTGTTAAGGAATCAACATTTGACAGTCTCTTAGAGTACCAACCAGTACGTTAAGCGCCTGATGTCTACTCAAAGGGCACCTTCAGCACAGAGTCAGTGCGAGCATACTTACAGTGCATTCACCAAAACGAGCTCCAGCACACTGACAGGGACTCGGAAGCCCTGCGAACCGGGCTTGATGTGATGACTTAGGCGTAGATGGCTTTTCTGGAGGCCCAGCCCATCCCAAGAAGGGATCTGAAATCAGTAAGGAGAGTACTTTCTCGGGAATCTTGTCTGTACTAGACAGGTCAGTTGAGAAGACGGTGAAAGTATCTGAAATTTAGAAGCAAAGAAAGAAAAATGAAGTAAAGAAGGATAAACTTGAGAGATTCATAGGTAAATGGATGCACCTTGAGGCGATACTCCCAAATGAAGTAAACCAGACACACAGTGTAAATACTGTATTGTTTCTCTGGTGTGAGACACTGAAAGTGTAATTAAGGACCAACATGCTTAACAGATACTGTGAAATAGGAAGAAAATGTTAAAATGGGAAGAGGAACTAGGGAGGAGCGAGGGACAAAGGAAGGAAAGGAAAAGAAAAATGAGAAAAGAAGGATAAAGTGGAAGTGAACAGGAAAAGAAGGAAGGTAGAAGGAAGGGAAGAACAGAAGGGAAGAAAGAGAGAGGTGGAGACCGTGAAATGAGAAACAGTTGCTGGGCAAACGTGAGGCTCAGGCTGCAGAAACCCCTGCAGCAGCCGGGCCGGGAGCTCCTTCACTCTGCTTTCTCAGAACTAGAGGTCAGGTTCTCCATGGTTAAATCGGTTACGACTGGAGAGAGTGGCGATTAATACGATTTACTCTTTTTAGAAAGCAGATGCATCCTAGAGCTGTATTAACAAAAACTTACTCTTCAATAGCTGGCATATGTTTTTATACGGCTCAGATATACTCTAATCTTATCTGAGCAGTGACTACTAGTAACTATGCAGGTTATGGGAAAGCACATGTCATGGAAGTGGCATTGTTTTTACTGGGGTGAGTAGTTATATGGCATGTACCGTTGTACAGTGTGTTAATCATTTCATTCTTTACCATAGAGCATAGTGTAATAAATAAATACCTCAAGGTTCATTTGTAGATGTAAGTGAAAATTAAACTTCTACAGATAATGAAATTTCAGGAAGAAAGGAACTCCATTTAATGTATTAACTGTGGAAATGAATTGGTCAGAGAAGAGCATAAATCTCATTTTGGAAAAGTTACACTTGTGGTTGAAGGCCTCTATCTGTACCTATAAAGTAGGCAAGTAGGAATATTACTCAGCTATAAAAAGGATGATCTTGAGGCCTTCATATTGAAATGGAGGCAACTTGAGGCTATCCTCATTAGTGAAATAAATAACAATCATATTTATACATATCACATTGTATCTGTAGTGTAGAAAGGAATAAGAACTATAGGAGTCATAAAACCCCAAATGTATAATTGCTATTGTAAAAAGAGGGAAAAAAAGTGCTCTAAAGGATATAACTGCATGTATGTTTAAGTAGGATTGATAACCATATTACTAAGTTTTTGTTGAATTGTTGAGCAGAACTGTTTGCAGTCTCACTGTTTGAAAGTCAACTTTGTATGCTTTAATTTTGTAACTTGAACAACTATTTTTAAGATGACAGAATGTAATTTATCAACTAGTGATTTCTTGTGTTTATTTTTTTGGAATTCTGTATTGTTGCTACCCTTTTTTCTATGTAAATAAATAAAAAACAGGCAAGTAATACTGCTTAAAAAAGGAATAAAATAGTCCCCATGAAAAAAGAACATAGAAACACTTTTATATTCATGTTAGACATACTTTGCAAAGGGAATTCCATCTCCATGTGTATTGATATAAATCTTAGTGATCTTCATTGCTTTCGTATTTCTGCTTTTATGCATCAAGTATTCTTGAAATTGCTTTAGTAAGAATTTTATTACTTCAGGAATAAGTAGAAATGATATATTGAGAAGTTCAGCAAAGGAAAAGGTCTTTCCACTAATTTTAGAATCAATGGAGGAATTGTCCACTACTTAATTTTCTTAGAAAGGGATGCAGAATTCAAAATAAGTGA